GTTGCATCAGCTAAACCTCTTTTAGTGACTTCACTGGAGCGTTTACGGTCAGGGTGGTAGGGTTTAACACTGGCAGCAAATCAAGGATGTTCTGATTTTAACCTTTGTCTTGCTCATATCGAGTCTGTTCCAGTTCCATGTACTTTACATTTACATTGCTCTCTGCGGTTTAAAGATAAATCCCGGCACTTTGTTCTAGTTTAGTTATTAGGGATGTTACTTGGAGCACTGGACATACTGTAAGCACAGTACCTTACAGTATTTGGCCTTTATCTTTTACCTGTGATTGAAGGTTTCAGTTTTTTTTATCTGTGTCAAAGGGAATATTTACAGAAACTTGATGACATTCAGATAGAACATTCTTTCCTTTTGGTTCAGTCAAGAATGTTTTACTCGTTCAAGAATTTGGCATCTTGAACATCGTGTCATTTAGAGCAAAGGAGAAGTCTAAAAATAGCTGAACACCTGAGTGTATGAGAGTAAAAAAGCTCACTGACTTTCTGAATGTTGTTACTTAAACTAATTTTGAGTTTGACTATGAGAGAATATTATTGTGTAATCATGATTTCCAGAAATGGTATAATGAAAGTTTAGTGGAAAAAATAACAGGAATAATAAACAAAAATAACAAACAGTAATTTTTTCTCTAATACAGAGCCTTTAAATGTTTTTTTTGTCATTCATATCATTAATTTCCTACTGCATAATGCCTACAGTTCTGTAGTGGCAACAGCTGTCTGTGTTTTAGGAATGTTATTGTAGGAAAAATTCATACACATACAAAGGCAGCTCAAACTAAACTAGAAAAAAGTGCCGGGATTTATCTTTAAACCACAGAGAGCTATGTAAATGTAAATGTACATGGAACTGGAACAGACTCGATATGAGCAGGACAAAGGTTAAAAGTCAGAACATCCTTGATTTGCTGCCAGTGTTAAACCCTACCACCCTGACCGTAAACGCTCCAGTGAAGTCACTAAAAGAGGTTTAGCTGATGCAACTTCTTAAAAAGACATTTGCTTGTAAAACTAAAATTTCAGAAATCCTGATAAGTTTATTTTGTTTTTTTTCATACCATTAATCATCTTCTACATAACACCTACCATTATGTAGTGGCAATAGCTGTGTGTTGTAACAATACACATTTTTTAAACGACTGCTCAGAGAGGTGCTCAAGTGGTAGGCTATTGACCGTAAAGGTTTTTTTCTTGATGTTGAGTTCTGAAAAAGAGATCTAAAACAAGTGAAAAGTAACCATTTTTCAATGCATTCATATCAAGTGAGTTCATAGCCGTGCTTTTCTTTGAACAGTGTTAAGGAACAGAAAACACAACACTAAACCTCTGGGTAGCCTTAAAAAAAAGAATCGCTTAATTCCTAAAAAAATACTTATTAAAGAAAAATAAAAGGAGAAAGACATCATTTTACAAAATGATTAGCAAAGAACAGGTTCTAGTTTAAGGACCATAATGAACTACTTGCAGTGGTATAAAAGGATACAAGAAAGGCCAAGAGAGAGATTTGCAAATAATTGCAGTAGAACCCAACTTTTTTTTTTTCCAGTGTCAATACAACTACAGAACAGAAAAAACATTTCAAAGTGTCTGATGTGTTAAATATTTCGCCCAGATGTTTACCAAATTAAAAAAAATCAACAACAACAATTTTCCTAAAGCTGTGGAAATCAAACCTTTTCTATTAAACAGCATTTCCATAGAAGAGGCAGAGGCGTTACTGGTATTATAAGCACTTGAGACAAACTTCTGGGGCCTGATGGTATTTTACAAGTTATAATTAAAGAAATGGGATGTTATTCTCCTTGTGCTAGCAAAGTTCTTCCAACATACAGTATACAGGGTGATGGCCATTGACAGGAAATTTGTTCATGTTAGATAACCTGCTAATGTAGCATTACATGAAAGGCTGTGGAAAAGCGAGGACCATCTGTATAGAAATTGGATTCTAGGGGTTAGTCAACATGGACTTTGGAAAGATAAGTCTTGCTTAATGTATTTAAACAAGCACCAACTGCAATGGATATGAGGCATGTAATATAATTTATTAAGATTTTGATATGGCTTATAAAAGTTTAACTCTCAAATTGCAGGCGGTAGTCGCTCAAGCCAATGTTTGATTTGGATTATAAACTGATTAATAGAAAACAGAGTCGAGATGATGTTCGAAATGGGGGGGACTTAATGATAGATTCCGGAATAGTTAACAACTAGTCTGTTTTGCAGATGACGCTGAAGTAGGAAGATAAGCAAATTCTGTAGGCACTGCTAAGGAAATCGATCAAGTCAGTCCCTGTGA